CCAAATTCTCCAGCTGGTCTTTGGTTAAACTAGGCCCAGCCAAGTCTTACAACTTTCATACCGGTTTGGACCAACAGGGCTTCGTTCCGGGGACAAACTATCTTATGCCTTGGGACATTGTCATCAGGACTAGAGCTGAAGATGAAGGAGACTTAGACACAAATTCCTGGCCTGCTCCAAATAAAGCTATTCCTGGAAAGAGAAGTGCAGTTGTCATGGGACGAGGAAGGCGTCGGGATGACATAGCTAGAGCTTTTGTTGGCTTTGAGTATGAAGACTCTCGAGGTCGGAGATTCATGTGCTCAGGGCCTGACAAAGTCATGAAAGTGATGGGAAGTGGACCAAAGGAGTCAGCGTTAAAAGCCCTGAACAGCGATATGCCCCTGTACATTCTGTCTTCATCTCAGGGCAGAGGGCTAAAACCACATTATGCTCAACTTATGAGGCTTTTTGTTGTGGTTCCTGATGCTCCTTTGCAGATAATACTGATGCCACAGGTAAGAAATAAAACCTTTCCCCTAAACAAACAAAAAACAGTGCTTTTCTTGGGGGTGGTCTTTACAGATCATGTAGCCCACATTAACTTGGATCTAGATGAGTAGTTTTCAATGACCTTTAACTTGTGTCTACCTCCCAGGCGCTGGGATTTTAGGCATGTACCCTCTTTACTGACTGATCTGTATCTCAGGCCCATGATTCTTTTTTTTTTTTTTTTCTTTTTTTTCTTTTTCGAGACAGGGTTTCTCTGTGTCTTTGGAGCCTATCCTGGAACTAGCTCTTGTAGACCAGGCTGGTCTCGAGATGTACCTGCCTCTGCCTCCCCAGTGCTGGGATTAAAGGCGTGCACCACCAACACCTGACTAGGCCCATGATTCTTATTTGGATTTTTGTTTGTTTGTTTGAGAGAGTTTCATGTGGTCTAGGCAGGTCTGAAACTCACTGTGTAGTTAAGGATAACTTTGAACTTATCCTCCTGCCTCTACCTCCTCAGTACCAAGATGGCAGGGTACACACCCACAACCTAGTTTAGACAGCACTAGGGATTCACCGAAGGTTTCATGTGTGCTAGGCAAGCACTGTGCCAACTTTACCCTTTGTTCTTGTAAGTTTACAAGTTTTCTCTTTGTAGCCCTCGCTATCCTGGAACCCAAAATGTAGACTAGGCTGACCTAGATAGAACTCACAGAATTCTGCCACCAGATGTATTCTATCACCGAATTCCCTTCCAACCCCACGTCTGCTTAAATGTTTTTGTTTACATTTATTTATTATCTGTCTGTTAATTTGTTGTTTGTGTGCATACTGGTATGCTAGGCCAGCCCTCTACCCACTAAGTTACATTCCCAGTACCTAATTTCTTTTAAATCCAAGATCTTTATTGATTTAACTATGATAACCATTAGTAAGAATTTAGTTTGACCCTAGTTTTCCAAACACCTGCTGATTTAGAAGTGCAGTCCACAGGCAGGTGGTTCTCTGTAGTTTGAGGGCAGCCTGGTCTACAGAGTTAGTTCCAGGACAGCTAGGGATATAGAGAGAAAGAGATATCAAAACAAAAATCAAAACCTGGCCAACAGGAAGTGGAAAAGAGAGCAGAGGGAGTAAGATACCAAGGGGACAGAATGAGGACCCAGGAAAATGCCAGCAGCTTCCACCTCCTGGTTCAGTGTGGCTACTTCCTCTTTAGTGTTCTTTGAGCCCCTTGTTTGTTTAGACACATACCTTCCAGGTGTTTTCTTATTGAGAAGTCTAAAAGTAATTCTGTTACACTTGTTTTTCAGGTTCAACCAGGCCCACCACCATGTCCAGTATTTTACCCAGAAAAACAAGAAATCACTCTCCCACCTGATGGCCTTTGGGTTTTGAGATTTCCTTATGCATATGTGACTGAGAGGGGACCTTGTTTTCCTCCTAAGGAGAATGTGCAGCTAATGAGTTACAAGGTGCTTCGGGGAGTCCTGAAAGCAGTGACACAATAAGTTTTCTAGCCATTCAAGTCCCAGACTGGAGCGGATGTTTGTCTTGTTTTTGGTATGTGTGAGATTTTGTTTTTAGATATGTGTTCTGTGTTTTCCCAAAACCAAATGTGTTTTGGTTAGAAGTGTTCAGTATTTGGACAATAATTGTTCTATTATTTCATTATATTGATATTTATTGTAAAATCAATAAAAATTTCTTCTAAAAAAGGGATACAAAATGATATGTCTGTTTTCTCGTTTCATTGTAGTATAAGGCATATTTTTATATCTCATTGTCAATATAAGGTGTACTTTTATTGTAATTTAGTGTTTCATATTTCTGATAAAATACTTTTCTTTTTTTCTCTTTCTCTCTTTTTTTGACAGGGTTTCTCTATGTATCCTGGCTGTCCTGGAACTCACTCTGTAGACCAGGTGGGCCTCAAACTCAGAGGATTACCTGCCTCTGCTTCCAGAGTTTTGGGATTAAAGGTGTGTACCACCATACCTGGCCCTATTTATTTTTTTATATGTATGAGTGTTTTGCCTGCATGTATGTATAAGTACTACATGCATGCATGGTGTTCACTGAGGTCAGAAGAGGACATTGGATACCTTGACACTGGAGTTATAGACAGTTGTGAACCACCATATGGATACAAGAACTGATCCCAGATCCTCTGTAAGAATGCTCTTTTTTTTTTTTTAGGTTTTATTTATTTATTATGTATACAACATTCAGCTTCCATGTATATCTGCACACCAGAAGAGGGTACCAGATCTCATAACGGATGTTTGTGAGCTGGGAATTGAACTCAGGACCTCTGGAAGAGCAGTTGGTGCTCTTAACCTCTGAGCCATCTCTCCAGCCCCCGTAAGAATGCTCTTAAGCTGGGTGCTGGTGGGGCACTTTGATTCCCAACACTCAGGAGGCAGAGGCAGGTGTATCTATTGAGACCAGCCTGGTCTACAGAGCAAGTTCCAGGCCAGCCAGCCAGAGCTGTTACAAAGAAAAATCCCATCTCAAAAAAAAAAAAAAAAAAAAAAAAAAAAAAACAGTGCATTGGTGGTACACACCTTTTAATCTCAGTGAGTGGGAGGCAGAGGCAGGCAGATCTCCAAATTGGAGGCCAGTCTGAAACAAACAAAAATCCAGGTGTTCTTAACTGGCTGAGACATTTCTCTAGCAACTGACCTTGATCTCTCAATACTACTGTCTTAATTAGCCTGTCTCTAATATTGGGATCACAGGTGTGTGCTAACAACCCATTCAGTATTAGTCATTGAACCCCAGGTGTCATGCATACCCAGTTATGTCCCAGTTCGTTTGTTCTTTACATCTGGAGACAGTATCTAGCTGGGGCTAGCTTTAATTCATTCTGTAGCCCAGGCAGGCCTGGAACTTACAGTTCTCCTGCCTCAGCCTCCAGAGTAGTGGGGATTACAGACCTGTACCCTCAGACCTAGAATAAATGTTCTTTAATTAAATACCTGTTCTATAAAATAATTTGCTAAGTGTTTAAATCTTACCAATCTATAGTAACTTTTCCCAACATGTCACCATATCACCAATTGTGGCTATGCCATCAATTCGGTAAATGCAAAACAAATTGAGACCCAAAGGAGTGTAATTGACTCTATTTTCCTAGATGCATTTTAAATACTGTTAACAGAGATTTTAATCTCAATGTATGTGAAATACTGTGTTGATCACATTTCCAAAAGCTGTTACTGACCCAGCAAGATGGCTTAGTAGGAAAAGGAGCTGTCACCTCAGGTCTCCCATGGTGGAAGGACAGAACTGCATTCCACAGGTTTCCTCTGGCCTTTACTTGTGCGCCCACAAAATAAGTCCATAAAAAATAAACAATTCGATCAGGTGCAGCAGCCCTTACCTGTAGCTCCAGCTAATGAAGATGAAGCAAGACAACTGCTTGGCCCTATGAGTTTGAAGCCAGCCTGAGCTAAACACGATGGTGAGTCAGTTTATTGCTGATTGTTTTGTATTGGGAATCAAACCACTAGTATTAAAGGCAGAGGCACGTGGATCTGGAGCCTGGTCTTCATGGTAAGTACCAGGTCAGCCAGAGGTACATAGTGAGACCCTATCTCCAAAAATAAATAAGTTAGTAATCCCAATACTTGGAAGGCAGAGGCAAGTTGAACCCTCTAAGTCTGAGGCCAACATGATCTCCACAGTGAAACCCTGTTTTCAATAAACAAAACAAACCTAAGGCCTTGAACATGCTAGGAAAGTGCTCTACCACTGAGCCACAGCTATAGCCTTTGTGGTTAGTTCCTTTTCATGAAATATGATCTACAGCTGGGCATGCCTATAATTCCAGCACTCTGGAGGCTGAGGTAGGAGAATCGGGGGTTCAAAGGTCTGTCCACTACCACATAACAGAATTCAAGTCTTGACAGGGCTACGTAAGACCCTGTTTCACAAAACCAACACCCTGTCCCCTTAAAACGTGGTTCCTAGTGTTTTCTTAATGTGTAATGTGTGAGATGAAAAAGGGAAATGGAAAATTTAGGTGCCAGTTTCCTTATTTATATTTATTTTGTGCTGGAGCTTGAACCGGTCCGCTCTACCAACTGGCTACGCCTTCCAGCCCCAAGTTTCTTACACGAACTGTTGAGTCAATACTTCTCGAGTACGTAACGAATTCGAGGCATTAGTAACAATCCTTTGCATTTCCTAGAGAAGGGGCTAGGACTTGCCCTGGAATCCTCCTTTGATGTACATTTCCCAATTACGTCAGAATTTCCTGACGGCCATCCTGGCTTGTGAGCCTTTTCTGCTTGAGTGGTGCAATAAAATAAAATAATAAAACAAAAAAAGCACTGGCAAGCTTCCAACCTCTTGCCTCAGGATCTTCTTAGAAGCACTTAGGAGGCGTGGGACCACAGCCGCTGGACGCCAAACGCTCCCTGACGCAGCGCGCCTGCGTATCGGAGCCCCTTTGTTGCTCAGGCGCTGGGGTCGGGCTGCGCCTGCGTGTTGAGTCCACAAGAACAAGTGCGCTGCGCCGAGGGCACCGGCTGGGGGCGAGCAGACCTCGAGCAGCCGCCGGCGCCGCAGCCGTTGCTACCACCGCAGCGCAGTGGGGTTCAGAGGCCCAGAAGGTGGTGACTGAGGATGTCGTCCACCGCGGCTTTTTGCCTTCTCTCTACCCTAGGAGGGTATTTGGTCACGTCGTTCTTGTTGCTTAAATACCCAACGCTGTTGCACCAGAAAAAGAAGCAGCGATTCCTCAGTAGGCACATCTCTCACCGCGGAGGTGAGAGGGGTCCCCAGAATCGGATGGCGGAGATGGGGGTGGCCTCCTAGCAGAAGGTAGAGGAGGGTGGGCATGCTGGAGAGGCTGAGGAAGAATGGGCTCCAGTGACTGGAGGGCTTCGTCTGGTGAGTCGTCCCGAGGGGAGGAAAGGAAAGAGGTCTCGTGTCCCACTCCTGGTGGGCGTCTCTGGGGAGGAATGGTGGCAGGGCTTCTGTGAGGAGGGGAAGCGCAGGATGAGAGCGAGAAGTGGGGCGTTTCTCAGCCGCTGGAAGGATGATCCGGAGGACCCTTCTTGGGAGCCAGGCACAAAGCCGATGCAGATCCAGGAGACACCCGCAGGGGGAACCAGGGACAGACTGCTGGGGACAAGCTGGTGGCTGAGTCCATGGGGAAGAGCTTGGGCACAGGCAGGGCTGAGGACCCGCGAGTCACCTGGAGCGAGCTGAGGAGTCTGCGATGCCTAGTGACCTGGCCCACCCTCCAGGCATTTGTAATTGAGCTCTGGAGAGAAGTGTCTCCAAACTAGGGACGTTTTCCAAGGTCACAGGGCTTGGACTGAAGTGAGACAGGGAACTTGGAGGGTTCTGGTTCCGAGGACTCCAAGGCTAGTACCTGGTTTTTGTAGTTTTTTTTTTTTTTTTTTTTTTTTTTTTTTTGTCTTTCACAGCAGCATTTATCCCAGCAATGGTTCGTGGGTTTCTAAAAGACTAAAACATGATTTCGTTTATTGGTATTATTTTTTAAAGATGGTAATGTTCTCTTGTAAAAGTATATTGCTGTAAGGATCAAGGGGCATTCACTCTGATTTCCTACAACAGGCCACGTCTTTGCTTCTTCATTACTGTTTAATAATGTGACTTCATTACATCTTAATCATAATGTATAATTGTTTCAATCACTTTTAATTTTTTTTCTGGGATGAATGCGACACTAGGTTAAAGTGGCTTGAAATGGAGCCAGTTTTGGTAGCCCATGCCTTTAAATCCCAGCACTCGGGAGGCAGATGCAGGCAGATCTCTGAGTTCGAGGCCATCTGAAGTAAAGTTAAGATTAGCTGGAGTGAGTTCCTTTGACAGCCAGAGATGCACAAAGAAACCCTGTCTCAAAAAAAAAAAAAAAAGAAAGAAAAGAAAAGAAAAAAGGAAATCGCTTGACATGTACAGTTTAAATGGTAAATTCTATAGTCTAAAATTTGTTGTTGTACCATAATGTTTTTTTTTTTGTTTTTTTTTTTTTTTTCAAAGATGGGGTCTTGCTATGGAGTGCCTGCAAGTCCCTCTGTATACCAAGCTGGTCTGGCACTCTGCCTCTGCCTTCCCAGTGCTGGGGGTAAAGGTGTGCTGGGACCATAACTTCTATTAAGACAAATATGTCATAGAAATACATTATCACTCTTTTGTATAATTTTATCAGTTAAACACAGTTTCCCACTTTTGTTTGTTTGTTCTACAAGACAGGGTTTTTCTGTATAGCCCTGACTGTCCTGGAACTAGCTCTGTAGAACAGGCTGGCCTTGAACTCAGCCTTTCTGCCTCTTCCTCCCAAGTGCTGGTATTAAATGAGCTGTCATGTCCAGCTGCTGGTGGTGGTGGTTTTTTTTTTTTTTTTTTTTTTTTTTTTTGAGACAGGGTTTCTCTGTGTAGCTTTGTGAGCCTATCCTGGCACTCGCTCTGGAGACCAGCCTGGCCTCGAACTCAGAGATCTGCTGCCTCTGCTGCCCGAGTGCTGGGATTTAAAGGTGTGCACCACCAACGCCCGGCAGTGGTGGTGTTTTAATGTGTCTCTGTATGGGTGTATGGTGTGTTTTCGTGTGAGTGTAGGCATATACATACTAGAGTTCGTGTGTGGAGGTCAGAAGACAATATCAGATATTGGTTCTTGTCTTTACCTTGTTTGAAATGGAGCTTCTTGCTGGACTCACCAGTAAACTTGAGTTGGGGGTTGGAACTTCTCCTGCCTGGCCTTCCATCTACCAGTAAGGGCACAGTTCTACTGCTTCTGGCTTATGCATGGGTTCTGGGTTCTACTGTTTCTGGCTTGTGCATGGGTTCTGGGTTCTACTGTTTCTGGCTTGTGCATGGGTTCTGGGGATCTGAAGCAAATGATTTACCTACTGTGCTATCTATCCAGTCCAGTCTTGCCTTTTCTGTTGTTTGTTAAATAGTCTTACTGTATAGCTCAGGCTGGCTTTGAACAGAATGGCCTTGAATTTAAGATAGTCCTGCTTCAGCTTCCTGAGTGCTGGCATCACAGGTATTTGTCATCACCAATCTTCCTATTGAAGATTATTCTTTTGGTCTGAAACTTGTTGTCATAGTTTTTCCTTGGTTTTATAAACAACACAGTAGCACATTATATGTTATATATATGAGGATGTTAATGATAATATAATGGTGGTCAAACAAAAACTATAAGAAAAGTAAACGTTGATTCATATACAATATATCCCTCTGACCTGGGCAGTAGTGGTGCATTTTTTAATCCCAGCACTTGGGAAGCAGAGGCAGGTGGATCTCAGTGAGTTCGAGGTCAGCCTGGTCTCCACAGTAAGTTCCAGGACAGCCATGGCTGTTACACAAAGAAATTCTGTCTCGAAAAACAAAAACCAAAAAACATCTATCTGAAAGATTATAGAAGGAGCTGGACCAATATTATTTCCTTCATAGCATCACAGGCAGGGTAATGGGCACAGGTACCTGCTGCCAGGCCTGGCAACCTGAGTTCAATCTGAGGGACCCCACATGGTTGGAGAGGAGACATGACTCCCTCAATTTGTCTGACTTCCATGCATATGTGTGCACACGCATAAAATAAATAAATGTTAAAAAAATCTTCTGTAGGGGATGGAGAGATGGCTCAGCAGTTAAGAGTACTGACTGCTTTTCTAGAGGACCTGGGTTCAATTCCCAGCACCCACATGGCATCTCACAACTATCTGTAACTCCAGTTCCAGGGGATCTCACACCTTCACACCAATGCACATTGAAAAAAAAAAACACTTTTTTTTTTAAAGTTAAAAAAAATCTTATGTGAGGATGCAAATTGCAATGTTTTCTTATCTTATCCTATCAAGATCAAAAGTAATTAGGGAGCACTACATAAAGGAGGGAAAATTAATATGAACTGAGAACACAGGGGGCTGGGAGATCACTATGTAAGAGGACATGAGTTTGACTCCCAGAACCTGTGTAAAAGAAGCTGGGTGCAGTGGTATGTACATGTATTCCCAGTGCCGGAGAGGTGGAGACAGGTCCCTTAGGCTCCAGTCAGTTAGCATACTCTATGTGGTGAGTGTTGTGGGATATTTTGACTCTGACACTCCACAGACTGGCAATAAAGTTTACTTTGAATTAGAGGGCAGAGCTAGCTACTAGCTGGCCAAAGTAGCCATAGAGATTTGGAGCGCTGAGGACAGATAGAGAGACATAGTAAGAAGTAGGGAGGGGCTTCGAAAGATTCTTGGTCCTTTTAGATCCAGGAAGGAGAGAGAGAGGAGGTTCCTGGTCGCTTTTCTGCCATTTCTCTGATCAGTTTCTTACCCTGATATCTGACTCCCGAGTTTTTATTGATAAAGAATAATTAGATAAATTGTTCATCTGGTTCCCCACTTTGGGTGCCATATGTAGTTGTGTTTTTCTCATCAGGACTGCCAACCTCTTCTTAGTACAGCACGTTCAACTTGCTCCGAGTCTGTTAGCGAAATCTGTGCACCTAGATTTCTCCTTCTCTTCCTCTCTCTCCCTGGAAATCCTGCCTATCCTCTCCTGCCTAGATATTGGCCATTCAACTCTTTATATTACACCAATCCAGCAATTTATATTACAGTAATACACAAATAAAAAGTGTTAGCACTAGAAATTATACTGTTTTCCTTCGAATATAAACACCCACCCCTACACATACACAATAAAAGCATACAGTGAAACAAACAAAATTAATAGTAGGGTGACCGTAGCACTGGGGAGGCTGAGGTAGGAAGGTTGTAAGTTTGAAGCCACCTTGGTCTATGGAGTGAGAAGGCTAAAACACAAACACACTTGAGGCAGGAATATCAAGGGTTCAAGGTCATCCCTGAATGCATAGTGAGTTGGAAGCCACCTTGGGCTACATAAGACTCCATCTCAATAAACCAATAATAGGGCTGATGAGATGGCTCAATAAGTAAAGATGTCAACTGCCAAGCCTAAAAACCTGAATTTGACCCATGGGTCTCACATGGTAGATGTGTTGGTTGGTTTTTGTCACCTCGACACAAACATAGACAGACATACATGAGAAGAAGGAATCTTAATTGAAGGAATCAGATTGTCTGAAGGCAAGTCTGTAGGGCATTTTCTTGACTAATGATTGATGTGGGAAGGTCTAGTCAATTGTGAGTGATGCCATCCCTGGGCAAGTGGTCCTAGATGGTATAAGAAAGCAGGGTAAGCAAGCTATGGGGAACAAGTCCGTAAGCAGTGTTCCACCGTGGCTTCACTTCCTGCCTCCAGGTTCCTGCCTTGCTTGAGTTCCTGCCCTGCCCTCCTCCAGTGATGGACTATGACCTAGAAGTTAAGCTGACACAAACCCTTTCCTTTTCATGTTGCTTTTGACAATGGACTTTATCTCAGACTAGCTGTCTTCTGACCTGTGCCTTCTTTTTTTCTTTTTTTTGGCGGGGAGGGATGGGGGATTTTGAGGCAGGGTTTCTCTGTAGCTTTGGAGACTGTCCTGGAACTAGCTCTTGTAGACCAGGCTGGTCTCGAACTCACAGAGATCCGCCTGCCTCTGCCTCCCGAGTGCTGGGATTAAAAGCGAGCGCCACCACCGCCAGGTTGTCTTCTGACCTGTACATGCACACAGTGTCATGTGTATTCCCACCCCACTTACAGGAAGTAAGTAATTCATGTGTAATGAAAATCGTAAAGAGCTGAGGAAATGGTACTTACCTAACATTCGTGAAGCCACAAGTTCCGTCCCCAGACCCATGTAAGCCACGAATGGTGGCAGTGCTGTAACTGCAGCACTGAAACATGGAAACAGAAGGATCAGAAGTTCAAAGCCACCCTCAGCTGCATAGTGAGTCTGGATCGAGCCTGGAATACAAGACCCTGTCTCAAAAACACAGGGGAAAAAAGTATATTGTGTGTAGAATTGTTTAATTGTAGATCTGGAAACTTATTAGGAGAAACAAAAAAATTAATTAGGCTGTTTCTGTGAGTCACATGATGATTATTTGAGAGAAAGTAAATTTGAGCAAGTCCATGAGGGAGGACCTACCATTAAATAATTCCTTGGAGAGGAGCACTATGTTTCTTAATTAGTCCCTCAGTTACTCTGCAGGTTTCACCATATGAGTCTCCGTAATCAGCAGGTTTAATCCTTGAGGAATTTACTTCCTAGTTTTATAGCAGCTAGAAGACTATGGTAATCACTTACCGGTAAAACTGAAAAGTAAGAGGCTGTCTGGGTGGTAGTTATCTGGATGGGAGGCAGAGGCAGTCAGATTTCTGTAAAGCCAAGACCAGCCTAATATACTTAGCAAGTTCCAGGACAGCCAGGGCTATGTAGAGAGACCCTGTCTAAAAATAATGAAATGAGCCAGGCAGTGGTGGCACACACCTTTAATACCAGCACTCAGGAGGCAGAGGCAGGTGGATCTCCGTGAGTTTGAGGCCAGCATGGTCTATGGAGTGAGTTCCAGGACAGCCAAGAGTAGTGAAATATTATTGTTGAAATAATATTGTTGTTGTTTTGAGACAGAGACCCTCTGTAGTGCTGGCTGTCCTGGACCTCACTGTGAGACCAAGCTGGCCTCAAACACTGTTTCTGCCTCCTGAGTGCTGGGATTACAGGAGTGTGCCACCATTTCTGGACCTAAATGGAGTAAAATTTTTTAATAGAATATGTCTAGAACTTCACAAATCCTTGTTAACTGAGCAGTGATAGTATAGGTCTTTAATTCCATCACCCACGAGACAGGAAGATTGAGAATTTGAGGCCAGCCTGGGCTACGTAGAGATCCTAACAAAAAGGCCCTTGTTTCCCTTCCGAGTTGGTCACTCTCTGTCATCTTGACTCATTCTTCTGGCATCTTCAGAGGGTGGCTTCTAGCTTCTGGGGGTCCTTTATACCCTTACATCAGTCTGCAAGGTCAAGACTATGTCCATAAGACAACATTTACCTCACGTACCTGCCTTCACCAGTACTACAAAGTGTTGATAGGTATGCCTGGGCATGTAGCTCAGTGGTACTCTGTATGCTTTGCCTGTTTGAGGCCTTGAAAATTGAGTTCCAATCCCTAGTGTCTCTCTCCCTACTCAAAAATGTCAGTGGTTAAAATTGCTATTGCCATAGCATGACTCAAAACCATGGTACAAAATGTATTGGTAGTCATTGTATTCTTTGCCATCATGTACTTAGTTTTAAAAAGACGGTATTGGGAGCTGGGTTTGGCTAAGTGGTAGAGTTCTTGCCTTGTAAGCACAAGGCCATGGGCTCAATTCAATCCTTAGTGCTGGTAATAGATAAATAAGACAAAAATATTCTTCTTCTGGGCGGTGATGATGCACATCTATAATCCCAGTGCTCAGGATGCAGAGGCTAGCAGATCTCTGTGAGATTGAGTCCAGCCTGGTCTACAGAGTGAGTTGCAGGACTACACAGAGAAGAAACTCTGTCTCAAAGGGGGGGGGGAGTGTATTGGGCATGGTAGCTCATGCATGCTGAGGTAGGTGGATTGCTAAGAATTTGAGGGCCAGCCTAGGCTACTTAGTGAGTTTCACCCTAGCCTAAGCTATAGAGTAAAACCTTGTCCCTTATTTTTTCTGGAACTCTCTTTGTAGACCCAGCTGGCCTTGAATTCACAGAGATCCTCCTGCCTCTGCCACTTGGAGTACTGGGATTAAAGGAGAGTGCTACCACATCCATCTAGAACCCTATCTCAAATAAATGAATAAACAAATAAATAAATAAATAGACAAAATAATAACAAAAAACTCCACCAAACCTGAAAATTGGGACTGGAGAGATGGCTTCAGGGCTAACAGTGATTGCTGGGCAAGTGTAAGAATGTGAGTGTGAATCCCCAGAAACCATATAAAAGCCAGGTGTATATCACATCTGTAATCCCAGAGCTCCTTGGAGGAGATGGCTATCAGAGGTAGCTAGCCTGCCGTGTGCAATGGGAAAACAACAGACACTTCACACTGAGTAGAAGGCAGACCCCAAGTTGTCATCTGACCAGCACACACGTGCTGTGGCCTATGCACACACAGGGAAACATGCTTGCAAACACAACCCCTAAAAATTACCAAGTGTGGTGTGATCCCAGCACTTGGGAAGTGGAGACAGGAGGATCAGGAAGGAGTTCAAGTATTTCCTCTATTACATAACGGGCTTGAGGCCAGCATGAACTACATGAGAACCACTCGGAAAAGAAAAGAAAAAAAAATTCTCAAAATTGAAAGGACATTGTGATGGAAATCCAACTCTGGTATAGTTGGCTTTCTAGGCCTTATAGCTGTTAATATGTTAAACCTGGCATTTGCTCCGGGCGGTGGTGGCGCATGCCTTTAATCCCAGCATTCGGGAGGCAGAGGCAGGTGGGTTTCTGTGAGTTCGAGACTAGCCTGGTCTACAAGAGCAAGTTCCAGGACAGCCTCCAAAGCCACAGAGAAACCCTGTCTTGATCCCCCCAAAACAACAACAACAACAACAACAAAAACCTGGCATTTGCTGGCTTGAATGACCTGAACTTTCCATGACTCTCACTTTTCTTCAACCTGTTCAATATAAATTCAGCTTGGCATTTCTGTCTGATCTCTTCAATGCTTCATTGCACCAGTATCTTTTCCTGAAACTCTCCCTAGTATTTCATGGATCCTTTCTGCATTTTTCAAATGAACTGTCCGCTGTGAGCTCTTAGGAGCTGCCTCTGGAAGGCTACGTGACCTTGAGAGGATTGTGCTTTGTAAGGTTTTTATGACATTTGGATTTACAGAATCTGAACACCTTGCAGTCGCTGTGGATGAATACCATGCAGTGCCTGGGCTCTGAATAGAAATAACGCCTCTCAACCTCCATGTTGGCCCTTTGTGATCTTCATAGCTTCTTAGACTAGAAAGCTAATAGGCATTATTAGCAGCTAGCAATCAAAAACCATTTTATCCTAAAATGGATCCTGGAATAAACTGTCGTAAAAATGAGACATCAAAGATCTTGAGAGGGGAACTTTGAAGTTGTTGTAAGTATGGCCATAATTCAAGGGAACATAAAAGAAGATAAGAAAGAATTATGGGCTGAATGCACACCTGAACTAAGCAGGGGCTCTTTTAAAGAGGGCTGTTTTTTTTTTTTTTTTTAAACTAACTGATGTAGCCAGGGCTGGCCTCCAACTCCTGGTCTTTCTGCCTCTGCCTTCCAGGTGCTGGGATTATAAATATAGGCTGCTGCCACACCTGATTTATAGTAACACAAAGTACTAGGGCTTCGTATACGTTAGGCACTCTACTAACTGAGTTGTATCTCCAGCAGTTAAAAAGGGCTCTGGAGGAATATCACTGACCTCAATGGACTGTGAAGGAACCATTATCTGAATTCCCTTAAATACATGCTTGTTGACCTGAATCAGTGATGGCACCGTGCCTTTGATGCCAGAACTCTGAAGGCAGAGGCAGGTGGATCTCTTGTTTGAGGACAGCCTGGTCTGTAGAGTGAGTTTCAAGACAGCCAGAGCTACACAGAGAAACCCTGTCTCAAAGAACAAAACAAAACAAAACCTGAAAAATAGGATTCCACCCACCTCCTCACCCATCACACACACACACACACACACACACACTCACACACACACACACACACACACACACACACACACACACACACACCCTCATTGCAATTTCTAGAGAAATAAAATGTTCAACATGACAAGTAAATGAAATTTAAACTCCATTTTTCCACAGGTGCTGGAGAAAACCTGGAGAACACAATGACTGCCTTCCAGCAGTAAGTACACAGGAAGGTCCCCTCTTAGAGCCTGTCATTGAAGTAATGGGGAGATGTCATTAAAGTGAGGAAGATGGTGTATATGTGCCTTTGAAGTATTACACAGAGTGTTTGGCTCCTGCGTAATTGTAAAAGTATAGTCCAAGTGTTGAGTAGTCCAAAGAGATTCCATTGGCAGAGCTGGAAGCAGACATCTGTGACAAGGGCAGACTGTGAGTAATGCTAGTCGGTCCTGTGCAGAAAGAGCAGATGAGACAAAAGCAGATGAGAGCAGATTACACCAGCTGTTGGCTATGAACAGGATTGTGTGTGTTTGTGCCCGGTAGTTTCTGTTGAGCAGGAACCTGCAATGGGGGTTCTTCTTGGGATGCTCTTGTGTGCTGATTTTATTTTTTTAGTAAGATGAGTTAAATTGTTTCTATTTATAATAGATTCATAGTTCATACAGAGGCCCTTTCAAGGCCTTGTGATAGTAGTAGAAGCTGCAGGAGACAGAGTGGGGCCCTTGTTCTTTGTCTTGGAGCCAGATGATTACCATCAGCCTGCTTTCCCTTCTCTGAGTAACACAACAGGATACTAAGCAAGGTTAATGAGTGTATGGCCTTACCACCCTGAACGTGCCTGATCTCATCTAAGCAAGGTCAATGAAAGGAAGGCATCCACCCTTAGTGAGAAAAGAATTGTAATGGAACTTTAAGCCTTTTTTTTTTTTTTTTTTTTTTTTTTTTTTTTTTTTTTTTTTTTTTTTGGAAAGGGTTTTTCTTTTTTTGGAGCCTATCCTGGCACTCGCTCTGGAGACCAGGTTGGCCTCGAACTCCCAGAAATCCGCCTGCCTCTGCCTCCCGAGTGCTGGGATTAAAGGTGTGCGCCACCAATGCCCGGCTATTAAGCCATATTTTAAGATGGGGTGGACATCTCTCTCTCAGTTGACCAGGGTGGTCCCATACTCCTAGGCAATATGAAAGCATTTTATTTGTAATTAGGACTAATCAGGAGGGTTGTGCTGAAGATTGAAGCCAGGGCTTCTGCATGCTAACATGTGCTCTATGGTTGAGGTACTCCCACAGCCCAGCAGAATTTGATCTAAGTTTCTGCTTTTCATCATTCAGTAACATCTTTGTTTGTTTGTTTGTTTGTTTTTGTTTTTCCAGACAGGGTTTCTCTGTGGCTTTGGAGGCTTTCCTGGAACTAGCTCTTGTAGACCAGGCTGGTCTCGAACTCACAGAGATCCACCTAGCCTCTGGCTCCCGAGTGCTGGTATTAAAGGCGTGTGCCACCAACGCCCGGCTCATTCAGTAACATCTTAAAGATTATTTGTTGGAGCTTCAGCAATGGCTCAGTAGTTAAGAACACTGGCTGTGCTTCCACAGCACAGGAGTTCTTCAGTCTCCAGCGCCCTCATGGCAGCTTACAAGGGCCTGTAACTCCAGTTCCAGGAGACCCAACACCCTCACACAGATTCACAAATTCAGGAAAAACACCAGTGCACATAAAATAAAAATAAGTAAATCATAAAAAAGGTGGGGTGGTGGTGGCACATGCCTTTAATCCCAGCATCCAGTAGGCATATCTCTGTGAGTTTGAGGCCAACTTGTTCCACAGAACGCTTCCAGGACAGTTAGGGCTGTTACAGAGAGAAACCCAGTCTTGAACACACACCCCCTAAAAAATATTGGTAAAGGAGACAGCAACTCCTTCATAGTGAGCATAGAAGGTAAAACTAAGGAATTGTATGCACGCACATGCACAGTGAACCAAGTCCTTATGTATATAAAATGTGGCGTTTTGTTTTTTGAGATGTGTGGGTTCTCACAGACTGGGCTGTACCTGAAAGGAGTATGTGTCCAAGAATAACTCTAAACTGACTCTCCTGCCTCTACCTCCCGAGTGCTAAGATTTAGGCATGTACCACCACACCCTGCAAAAACCTGATTCTTAAGACCTAATAAAACTAGGTTATTAAACTGGGCCACATAGGTGAATACAAAGAGGACAATGTAATCCCTGTGGTACTTATATGAATGGAAGAAGAAGCAAGTTATATTAGCAATACCTGGAAGCAGAATTTGGCATGTAGTCAAAAAATAATTATTTGCCCTGGCTCTCTCTCTCGTGTGTGTGTGTGTGTGTGTGTGTGTGTGTGTGTGTGTGTGTGTGTATTGTGCTTTTCTTTGTTCTTTTTAATTCTGGTTTGATGGTTTTATATGCCTGTTTACTTTCTAAATAGAGAGAGAGTTGGATGAGTGGAGGGGCGTGTGTGTGTGTGTGTGTGTGTGTGTGTGTGTGTGTGTGTGTGTCAGTTTTCTCCTTTCTCCATGTGGCTCCCTAACTCACTGAGCCATCTTCCCAGTCTTCTGTTTCTTTTCTGGTTTGTTTGTTTTTGTTTTTTGAGACAGGATTTCCCTGTTTAGTGCTGGCTCTCCTGGAGCTCTCTCTATAGACCACTCTTGCCTTGAACTCACTTACCTGCTCTTACCGAAGCTGTCTCTTCAACCCTTGGAAGTTTTGGGCAGTGTTTTAGTGGAATTTTTGTTGTTTTGTTTTTTCCCACGTCTTTTGTGATTTTTTAAAAAGCTTTTATTTATTTATGTATTTTTTAGGTATGAATGATCTGTCTGCATGTATGCCTGCAGGCCAGAAGAGAGCATCAGATCCCATTATAGATGGTTGTGAGCCACCATGTGGTTGCTGGTCAGGACCTCTGAAAGAACAGCCATTGTTCTTAACCACTGAGCCATCTCTCCAGCCCTCATTTTTTTTTTTTTTTTTTTTTTTTGCGGGGTTGGGGGAACGGTCATATAACCAAGATTCATATAACCCTCAACTTGGCATGTAGTTGAAACAGGACTTTAGTTCAGTTCTTAATCATCTTGCCTTCACCCCCCAAGTGCTAGATGTACACCACCATGCCCGGCACCTCTCTTTCTCTCTAGTGTTGCACTGCCATGCCTGACGCCTCTCTCTCCCTTTCTCTATAGTTGTACACTGCCATGCCCCCCCCCCCATGCTTTTAAAAAGATTTTTTTTGAGACAAGATCTCTCTATGTATTACTGGCTATCCTGCACTATGTAGACCAGACTGGCCTTGAACTCACAGAGATCCTCTTGAGTGGACTGCTGGGATTAATGGTGTATGCTGCCATGTTTGACCAGTGCATATGATTTTTTCATATGCATAGATGATAAATAATAGGTGTTATGATAAATCTTTCCGCCAAAGCCCAAGCCCCACTGCCACGTGGGCAGTCTCTGCCAGCCTCCTGAGTTCTGCCCACCGAGTGGATGGACAAAATAATACAGACTTATATTAGGTACAAATGCTGCTTGGCCAATGACTAGGATTCTCATCTGTTAGCTCAGTCTTAATTATCATAAATCTATATATTTTGTAAGACTTATCTTATCGGACACCTTCTATTGGCGTCCCTCCTTGCCGGTGGATCACATGTGCTGCTGGAGGAAGAGTGGAGGGGAAAGGGGGACACTTCCTGTTTCTCCTTGCTTAAATATGAGTCTCCTAGCTATGTCTCTTCCTGCCTGGATCACCACTTCTCTACTACATTTCCCAGAATCCTCTTTGACTCCTAGTCCTGTCCAACTTGCTGTCTCATTGGCCAAACAGTACTTTATTCAATAATCAATAAGATGAACATACACAGTACATTCCCCATAAAGTAGATGTGTTACTTGGAGGTAGGTGTGTGCGTGTGCGTGCATGTGCACTTCCAAATGAATTAGGAGAGAGGGGTGTGCTGTGCATCACCTACGCCAAGTGCAGTCTGTTTACTAAACTATTCCCTATGTGACCCTGCCTCAGCAGGTCTCACAGTGTACCCAGGCTGATCTAGGACTTACTATATATCCTAGGTTGGACTCAAACTGGAGGCACGCTCCTGTCTCAGCTTCTCAAGTGCTGGGATTTCAGGTGTGAGCTACTATATCTAGCCTTTTCCTAGAGTTTTGCTGTTGAATGTCGGTTTATACACTTTCTAGCCATTTGTAAATCCTTACTAGTGAAACCCCCTATTCTGTGCAGTCTCATCCATGGCTCCTCAGGTTGGCATGGCTCTGAAGCTTTCTGTTACATGCTCAAGTTTAGAGACTGAATTCCATCTCTAGGATTTCTACTTGTTTCCATTGTTATCATTTTTTTGTGTCTCTGACAGAATTTCTCTTGTTCATGTATTATTTTCCAAATCCATTCATTCATTCCTTTCTTCCTTGCTCTTCCTTTTCATTTTTTTTTGTTTTTGTTGCTTTGTTTTTAGAACAGGATATCATGTATCCCAAGCTGTCCTTGAACTTCACCCTATGTAGCTGAGAATGACCTTGAACTTCTTACCCTGCTACAACTCCTGAGTCTTGGAATTGCACAGGCATGCATCAGCTCACTTGGTTATTTCTGTACCTTTTCTATCATTTCCTAGATCTCCCTTTCATTGGAATCCATTGTTGTCTTATTTTTATTTTTCACTCTTCTATCTTCCTCTCTCCTCCTCCCAAGTGCTGGGATTACAGGAATATACCACCAGACCACCTAATAGTATGTTGAATCAAGATAATAAAAGCAGCCATCCTTGTCTTATTTCTTGGTAATTTCATTTTATAGATGTGTAAATACAGGCCATAAGAGGAAAGTCTACTTGCCCTAAGTTATACTAATGTGTCAGGAATTGCCACCCAAATCTCTTAATATCTGGTTAGGTATTTTTTTCCCCCTCACTATATTGACATGTCAGAATTAACCATAGTTTCTTTGGAAGAGACAACATGATTCACTTACTACAAGCCACAACATTTTAATAACTTATTATATGATTATAACATCACATTGATTAATGGTGATAAATGTTGTTGAGCTATTTCAGTGTTGTGGGATACCCTGGATTTTAATATCAGAATCTTCATCTCTGATACATGTAAATGTTTACTAGTCTTCAAAGTGCCATTTTTCTCTTATGTCTTCAGTGCTGTTAACATTGGAACTGATATGTTAGAACTGGACTGCCATATCACAAAAGATGAACAAGTCGTAGTGTCACATGATGCAAATCTGAAGAGGTCAACTGGGATCAATGTAAATGTCTCTGATCTCAAATATTCTGTAAGTAAAAATAAGCTAATATCATTATATTTAGGGGTAATATTTTTAAGGCAGAAAAGAGCCAGATGTCACTACAATAAATAACTTGTGAAAAAGCTGATGATTGACCTGGTTTAATGGTTCACAGCTATAATCCCAGCACCTGGGAAGCATGATTGTCCCAAGCTTGATGCCAGTCTGGGCTCCTGTCTCAGACAGACAAACAGGGACAGGAGAGATGGCTCCGTGCTTGAGGGCACTGGCTCCTCTTCCAGAGGATCCGGTTCCGTTTCCAGTACCCACATGGTATTTCACAACTGTCTGTAACTCCAGTTCCAGGGGACCCAACACACTTTTCAGGCCCCTTTAGGTATCACACCTGTAAGTCCAAACAACAAAATTCCTAAAGATGACCGTGATTGAAATAAATGAGGAAGAGGGAAAATGTTAAAGTATCTTGGCATCCAGCAAGGAATCTGTATAGTTAAAATGCATCTGTGGGGACCTGCTTCATCTTTTTCTTAGACAGAGTCTTGTGTAGTCCAGGCTGGCCATGAACTCCCTACAGAACTAAGAATAATCTTGAACTTCTGATAATCCTGCTTTCACTTACCAAATGCTAGGTTTGTAGGTATACACTACTGTCTTAGTTAAGGTTTCTGTTGCTGTGAAGAGACACCATGAATACAGCAACTCATAAAGAAAACATTTAATTGGAGTGGCTCACTTAACAGTTTCAGAGGTTCAGTCCATTATCATCATGACAGGAAGCATGGTGGCATGCAGCAGACATGGTGCTAGAGTAGTCGCTAAGTGTCCTATACCTTACAAGCAGCAGGGAGTCGACTGAGACACTGGGTGGTATCCTGAGAGAAGGAAACCTCAAAGCCCGCCCCCACAGTGACACACTTCCTCCAAAAAGGCCACACCCACTCCAACAAAGCCACACCTAATAGTAGGACTCCCTATGAGATTATGGGGCCCAGTTACGTTCAAACCACCATGCCAGTTGAAGGGCCAGCGAAATAGCTGGGCAGATAAAGGTGATTGCCAGGAAAGGCAAATACTCTGAGTTTGATCTCCAGAGCCCAGATCAAGAAACCAAGTGAAAGGAAAGAAAAAATGAAGTGCTGTGTGTCTCTGATCCCAGCCCACCTACCACAAGATGGGAGGTGGAGAAAGGAAAACCATCTGGAAGCCACAGAGCAACAGCAACACCAAGAAAGACCCTATTTCAAAACCAGTGGAAAAAGAAACCCAACTCCCAGAAGTTTTCTTCTGATCTCCATGTGCTCTGTGGCACACATGGTGCCCATGCTTACACACACACACCAGTCTTAAAAATTTGATCATATGAAAGAAATTTATCTATTTATTTGTAGTTTTACGTACATTGGTGTTTTGCCGTGAGTGTCAGTTCCCCTGGAACTGGAGCTAGACAGTTGTGAGCTGCCATGTGGGTGCTGGGAATTGAACCCTGGGTCCTCCTGAAGAGCAGTCAGTGCTCTTAACCACTGAGCCAGCTCTCCAGCCCCTCCCCCACAAATGAAAGTAATGTAAAGAAAGGGGAAAAAATATCTGGGCTAGCAAGATAGCTCAGTGGATAAAGGTATTTTGAGGCCGAGCCTGACAATCTTGAGTTTTATCCCTGGGATCTATTTAGGGGAAGGAAGAGAACTGACTCCTGCATTGTGTCCTCTAAAGTGCATGAATGCACTATAGTACAGTCATAGTCATACACACCCAGACTAAATAGAAGTAATTTTAAATAATTTAAATCATATTATTTATGTGCATGACAGTAAATACTGAAATGGAAGAAAGAACTAGTGTCTACTTTTGTCCCCTAAAGAAAATTGACATTAACATGTTATTGTTGGTTGGTATACTCTGTTGGTTTTCTACAGTTTTGTACTATTAATTATGTATATTGTGTTTCAAGTACTGTAATGTAATTGGTATGATGCCAAATGCCTATACAGCACTCAAAAATTGTGTCTCCCCAGGCGGTGGTGATCCACACCTTTAAAATCCCTGCAGGGGCAGAGACAGGAGGATCTCTGTGAGTTAGTGGCCAGCCTGGTCTACATAGTGATTCCCAGGACAGGCTCAAAAGCTACAGAGAAACCCTGCCTCTAAAAAAAAACCAAAAAACAAAAAAGTTGTCCCTCTACCTGGCCTGGTGACACACACCTTTAATCCCAGCACTCAGGAAGTAGAGGCAGGCAGATCTCTGGGTTTGAGGCCAGTTTGGTCTACAGAGCAAGTTCTAAGACAGCCAGAGCTGCCCAGAGAGATCCTATCTCAAAGTCACAACAACAAAACAAAATAACAACACAAATTTAGGGCCCAGAGAGATAACTCAGCAGTTATCTGCTCTTTTGGAGGGTCTGAGTTCAGTTCCCAGCCCCCATGTAGTTCTGCGACTTCTTGTCCTTAAGGTCATTTGCACTCACTCTCTCACACACACAAAACAAATCTTTAAAAAAGGGAGGCAAAAACTTAAAAAGTATGTAAATCAAAGTAGTACAGATTTATTGTAAGTGATATATAAGTAATTCTATCATGATTTTGCCTCTGGAAAGCTAAAGAATATTGTGTTTAAGTGTATGCTACATCTTAATCTTTTTTTAAAGAAACAAAAGCTTTATGTCATAATGTGAGATGCTAAAGTGCTTTTAGTTTTTGAGAGCTAACCATTTTTTTAATCATATCTTTTTAAGGAGCTCCCACCTTACCTTTGCAAACTGGATGTCCCATTTCAGAGAGGTAACATTTTTTTTTTTTATGGTTTAAACGCTGACATTAAAGTATTCATTTATGTAGAGAATCATAGTAGTTTCTTGCTAATAACATTGCCCTCTAACCTGACCTATGACCTACAAATCTAAAACCTTGATGATTATCTGATTCTAAGAATACTTGACCTAAAGATTTAACTGTATCACTTATCTTAAATTCACTTGACAACTGATTGAAGCCTGAATACCATAATAATTATTTGAATTTAGATTCTTTTTTTGGGGGGAGGGGTTTGAGACAGGATTTCTCTGTGGCTTTGGAGGCTATCCTGGAACTAGCTCTTGTAGACCAGTCTGGTCTCGAACTCACAGAGATCTGCCTGCCTCTGCCTCCCGAGTGCTGGGATTTAAAGGTGTGCACTACCACCGTCTGGCTTGAATTTGTATTCTTGGAGATAATTTATACTTTTCAGGGGGTGTGTGGGAAGCAGGATGTGTGTTTTAAGATAGTCTCAGGCTATATCTCTGCTGGCCTTGAATTTTCTATGTATCCCAGGCTGGCCTCAAACTCACAGCTATCCTGCCTCAGCCTTCAGAGTAGTGGGAATTGTAGAATCGAGCCACCATGCTTGATTACTTTGTACTATTGCTGCTGCTACTGCTTCTTCTTCTTCTTCTTCTTCTTCTTCTTCTTCTTCTTCTTCTTCTTCTTCTTCTTCTTCTTCTTCCTCCTCCTCCTCCTCCTCCTCCTCCTCCT